CTACAATTACCAACAAGTTACCCTAAATTATTTTTTCCGTATTACAGTACTAAGTACATCCAGTCACATAAGCAGGAGGGAATGGAAATTCAATATTGATGTGTTAGACTGGAAGGCATTGTAACGCAATGGTGAAAAAAGGGCTTCAGACTCAGACCTGGACTGAAATATCTGGTATATCATTTACTGTCCTGGTGACCTTGGCCAAGTAGCTTAACTTTCTCTGAGTTTCGGTTGCCTCATCTGTAAAATGAAAGTGACAATAGAACCTTCCTCACAGAGTTGTGGTGCAAAGTAAATGAGATCATTTATGTAAAGTGCCTGGCATAAGAGAAGTCCTCGACTTAGGCTGCCCCCTCTCCCTCCGCTCCTTCACCCCTACTTCCCCTCCAGTTTCTATTTTTGCTGCTGATGTGGCCAGTTAACTTCTACATCTTCTCTCCTCTCTTGTGAAAGAAGGATTGTAACATTTAAGGACAAAGACCTTTAGGATTCTTTATAAGCAGCATAGAGGTTATAAAATATTACCTTTTATCTTTAGGATAAAACTCTTTTTAAACACATCTTATAAATTACTGAAGCCTAAAGAATGTCTTTTGGAAAATTACCTTTCTTTCCAGGCTCCCAAACCATTTTAAAAAGAACTCCGTATATATTTTTTTTCATACGTAAAAAAGAGCAAATGATTAACAAGCACTGTGAAGAAATATTTTAATGAAGCTAACTATTGTCCCAGAAGCAGAAGCTGGCATATGAAGTTAATATTGGATCTTTATTGGGTTTTCTCGGGCAGGTACCATTGCTTTTCTAAAAATCTATAACATCTGGTTTCTTTACTTTCCCTCTCTGTATCTTTCAAGTTGTGAAAGCAATTTGAAATTTATAGGAGGCTGATCTGCTTCATTAGGTTAAACGGTTATGGTTCTGATTCCAGCATGAAGGATAGACAGACACATCAAGCTGATAAGCTCCTGTCCTGGATGATCTGAGCTGCATAGCGTTGAGACTTACAGCTGTCCTGCAAGTCCACCTTGGAGTAACCCGCTAAAATGATTAACTCCAGGATTTCAGCCTCTGGTTCTTAAACCCTGAAGGAGTCTTGGCTATGTTGCCATGCTGCAGACCTTGTGAGTGTCCTGAAAGCTGAGATACCATATTAGCCAGATGACAAATCAGGCTTGCATTTCTATGTAAGTTGAAATGTAAATTCCTTTGAGTATGACTTTGTATTTTCCTATGATGATGATGATCAGGGATCAAGCTATATAAACAGTAATGTTTTTCTAGGAACATGGTTGTGATGGATCTGACTCCTCTCTGCCTCTGTTGCTGTCCATTAGAGCAAGAACAATGAAAAAGCACTGGATTCCACCAACATTTATTGAGGAGTTATTATGTGCCAGGCACTCCACATACATTATCTATAGTTAATCCTCATAAAAATTTGTGAAAAAGATATTTATTCCAAGGAAAGTTTACATGTAACTTACTCAAGGTCACAGAGCTTCTAAGGGATGGAGCTAAACTCAACTACAGATCTGTATTACCTGTATTGCTCTAATCTCAGTTTTCTTTCCACAGCATCACAGCTGAAACTGAGTGATTGCTTAGGAAAGAGATACTGTCCTGTTTTAAGACTGTGGCGATGGTGTTACTTTGACATATAAGAAACAGGGGGAATGCGGTTTATAGCTCCCAAAATTTTTTAAAAACTTTATTTTTTAGAGCAGTTTTAGGGTCACAGCAAAATTGAGAGGGAGGTATAGGATTTCCCATTTACTTCTGCCCTTACACATGCATAGCCTCCTCCATTATCAACATCCCCCATCAGAGTGGCACGTTTGTTACAACTGATGAACCTATATTCACACATCATTATCACCCAAAGTCCATAGTTTACATTAGGGTTCACTCTTGGGGTTGTACATTCTATGGGTTTGGACAAATGTGTAATGACATGTATTCATCATTATAGTATCACATGGAGTATTTCCACTGCCCTAAAGATCCTCTTGTACTCCACCTATTCATCTCTCTCCCTCCTGCCCCTGCTCCTTGGCAACCACTGATCTTTTTACTTTCTCCATAGTTTTGCCTTTTCCAGAATGTCATATAGTTGGCATCATACAGCATGTAGCCTTTTCAGTTTGGCTTCTTTCACTTACCAATGTATACATTTAAGGTTCCCTCATGTCTTTTCATGGCTTGATAGCTCATTTCTTTTTAGCACTGAATGATACTACATTGTCTGGATGTACCACAGTTTATTTATCCATTTACCTACTGAAGGACATCTTGGCTTCTTCCAAGTTTTGATAATTCTGAGTAAAACTGAAAGGGAACCAATTTCTAAATCCTCAACTTCTTTTAGTACTATTTCCTAAAAACTATTTGCCTGAGAATTCACCTCGTGTTTGCCCTTCCCACCTCTCTTTCCCAGTCTCTCAAAAAGAAAGCATTCCTTTCAAAGGTCACAACTCTTACTACAGTATTTTCACTCAGGATGTAAAACCCTTGGGACTGAACAAAGCAACAATTTCTAATATTGACATCCGGGAATCTTCTTTAACTCAAGACTATAAATTACCCCTTCTCCTTCCATCTCACTAAATGCATTTCTATACAATTTTATGTTTTATAAAAATAATCGTAATGTATAATATCTTCATGATATTTTTATCTATTGTTTACGTGCAGTAATTGCAATTATAACTCAATCCAGAAGCTTTTTTCTACTTGGGGCCTTATAGTCACAAGGAAATAAAAATAATTTAATTTCTATTTGTGGGCATATTTTTGTTGCAGAGAAATTTAATGTGGTGAGCAATAGAGGACTTTCAAGTATAAAAATATATAATGATAGAATACAATTCTGTGGGGAGAATGCAATGCATGTTTTATTTCAAGGAGAAAAAAGGAACAATGTAAATTTTCTGAAGGTTAAAGAAAAGTTTACACTTTTGTTTTTTTGTGTATTTAATGTTTGATGGTGGGCATCAAATTGCCCTGGTATTTAGAATCCAATGAAAATCTTTAAAAATGTAATATAACAGTTTTATTTTAAATTGTCAATACGTATAGTATTGGAAATTATACCTTTTGACACTATTTAAACATGATGAAAAAATTTAGCTATCAACCTAAAAATGTGTGAAGCAGTACATGGCTTCTCAAAATTCTTTTAGGGTTTATGTGAATAAAAATTTGAAGACCCCAATCCTATGGAGTTTTTTGAGGGTTAGGTAAAATGCGTGCAAAGCATCTAGGATAATGCTCAATTAATGCAGCTATTATCTGAAGGACTGAGTTACAATTTTCACCATCTTTCTTCTTTGGTATTTGGTCCAAGGCCTTTGAACTTTAGTTTCATTGTCTAGATGAAGGATAACACCGCTGACTGTAAAACTCTGAGTATAGGAAGTTAGATGAACATGTTTGGACTTAACATCAATAGTGTCAATGGTAATGTTCATCGTGATGAAAACCCAGGTATAGGTTCTATAAATCAGGGCATATAACAGGTGTTCAATAAATGCTTGCTGAATGAATGGATGAATGCTATAGGGAACCTTGCTAGAATGAAAGATCATATATTAATTCATTGGGCACCTTCTCTTAGTACCTGCTTTGGTCCTTTTAAAGCCCACTTTGGACTTAATCAGCCATTGCTGGCTTTGAAGATGGAGGAAGGGGGCTATAAGCCAAAGGATGTGGACAGCTTCTGGAAGCTGGAAAAGGCAAGAAAATGGGTTCTCCTCTAGAGTTTCCAGAAAGGAACACAGCCCTTCTGATATCTTGATTTTGGCCCAGTCAGGTCCATTTCTGATTTCTGACTTCCAGAACTGTAAGACAATAAATTTGTATTGTTTTAAGTCATCAAGTTTGTGGTAATTTGTTACAGCAGCAATAGGACACTGATATAGGTGGGTTAGCCATTATTACTCTATTTATAACCCCCTTCAGTTCTGGCTTTTCTTGGCTGTCTTCACAGGGCAATGTAATCTAAACACTTCTCTAAAATCAACATGGATCCTTTTGCCCATGTACACACTATTTTCCTGCCGCTAGCTACTCTTAATCTCAGCGAAGCTGCTTTTAAGAGTAACCTCACTTCTCCTACAACAGACAATGGACAAGAGGCTTCTTAGATAAGCTGCAAGACAATTTATAACATCCTCTTCCCAGATTTTCCACTTACACGTGGAAAATCATGTGCTTAATCAACAGCCTCCGCAATGAGCTGGGTCACAAAAACCATGAGGTATGACAGTCTGAGGTCCTAGTCAGGAAAAAGTGAACTCCTAATTCCAGCCTCCCTTTCTTTGGCAGGGGGTTCTGATCTTAACATAGAGATCCTAGAGTAGGAGTCAAGCCTTTGGGTCGAAGGCCCACGGGAATTAGAAGGCTAGGACAAAGAGAAATGGGAAAGGGAAGAGAAAAAGAAGTTGGTCGGTCAGAGGGACGCTGAAAGAGAGGAAGGAAAAAGAATAAACAATCCAGCCAAATAGTAATGGCAAGTGAGAGACGGCCTCTCACAATCCATTACTCCTGGGTTCTTGCTCCAGTTTCAGAAACTTTCCACGTAGACTTCAGCGTGCCGCACCTGCCCCTGGAGGCTGGGCCCGGCTAGCGAGCCTGAGGCAGGCTGGGAATGCCTTTCTGGGAGAGCAGCCGCCCCGGCGGGGTGGTGGGGAGATTGCAGGGAGGAGTCATGGGGCGTGAAACGGAAAGACTACATCTCCCAGGCCGCCACGCTTTCCAGCTGGAGTCCTAGGGCGCTGACTGCTCCCCAGTTTCCGTAGGGAAGCGCCGGGCTACCGCAGCTATTGTGCGTCGCGCTATCGCCCTCCTCTTCCCGCTCGGGTGTCTATGGAGGAAGGCTACGTTTCATTGCTGCCCCTGCTTAACTCCTCCGGTGCCTATCTGGACAGCAAGCCGGTTCCGTTGGACCAGGAAGAGCTCTTGGGAGCCGGAGGACTCTGGTAACTAAACCCTAGAGGGCAAGGAAGACAGTAGAAGAAGGAGCCCGAGTGCTTTGGCTCCGTACAAGGGCTTCGCTGGGGCGGGGCCGAGGCGCTGGCTTTAAGAAGGGGGAGGGGACAGTGCAACCAGGGTTGCCCGCGGATTTCAGCAAAGGAAACCTTCATCTAGTTCGGGAGCGAGGAGCTAGGAGAGGAGGCTCCCCCGCCTACGCCCTGGGCAGGCCGAAGTGTCACGTTTGCAATTGCTCGGGAAGGATCCGGCTGGTCTCCAGAGGCGAGCCGGGCTGCGGTTTCTGCTGCCTGTCAGGGGAGGCGATGCCTAGGGGGCATGCTGCTTGCTAGGCAGCACCCCGCCGGGATCCGACTGCGTTAGTTAGCTCTCCCTGTCACCTGAAGTAATCGCCGGGCCACTCGTTTCCGGTACAGACCAGCCAGCTCTCCCCAGGAATCTCATCGGAACAGGTACCTGTCCTCCAATGGGAGGGAGGCTAGGAGTTTCCTAAGTGGGTCCTGAACTCAATCCATCCCAGCCACTCCCCTTAATTTGTCACTGATTCTCTTGGTCTTTGTGTCTTTCCTCTCTCCTTCCAATCTCCGCCATCAGAACCATGGGGCATCCCCCGCTGGAGTTCAGCGACTGCTACCTGGACAGCCCCGATTTCCGTGAGAGGCTCAAGTGCTACGAGCAGGAGCTGGAGAGGACCAATAAATTCATCAAAGACGTGATCAAAGATGGCAACGCGCTTATCAGCGCAATGAGAAGTAAGTGAAAGGCTTCGATGAGCTGTTTCCCTGAGCCAGTGGTTCTGGCCTTTAAGATTTCCATACCGCAGGGGGAAGGAAGGATTCAGGGTGATTCCCAGCCCAGGTCTCTGAGGTTTCCGGACACTTCGGAAGTGAGGTCAGCAGAAGCAGAAGGCGATGGCTACAACTAGAACTTTCGGCCTTTCCCTTTAGTGGCCTTGATCTTTTAAGACAGGATCTGTAGCTGTGTCGTGGACCTTCTTGCTCTGCAGCTATCGTCACTTGGCAGATTGTTGTTCTGAAGGGACAATCTGCCTGTGCCATTGGACATGCTTAGCACCCGTGTCTGGGGTAAGGAGATATCCAAGCTGACCAAGGAACTGCCACAGCACCTCCTAAAGAACTGAGAATTAAGGCCAGCAATAAGGGTTTTGTCCTGGCCTCTGGTTGCTACAGATAGGTGTGGGGGCAGTGCAAAATTCCCCATGGCAAGTTATTTTCTAAGGAAAGCACGTTTGCCTCACTGAATTTTTCTTTAAGTTATGGAGCTATGGTTTTGGTCAAGGTTAGTCTAAGCTCAGAGCTATTGGATGGCCTCACATGCCACTGAATTCTGCTTGAGCGTGGAACAAAAACTTGTCCAGTCCCTGGCACAAGGAGCCCAGCCCCCAGGAGGCAAATTATAGAGCCAGGATTGGGAGCCACGGGGCTGAAGGAGCATCACCTACCTTGGCATTCTCAGTGGTCACAGCTGACAGCTGTGGGACCCTCACACCACTTCCCTACTGTGTGTGGATTTTTTATTTTTGCTAGTTGGCAGAAGGCTTGGAGTAAGAGAAAGAATAATAAACATCTTTAACAAGAGTGCAGGCAAACCAACCCTTTGTGCCAAAGTATATACTCAGAAAAATGGAGGATAGTGACTGGGTGGAGTAATAATTAAATTTTTCTTTTCTTGACTAAAAGATGATTGTGAAAAATAAGGTAAAAGTCACTGGCAAATATGTCCTGTATGCTTATAACTTTGTTCAGAATGGATTTATCCCAAAAATATTGTATGTAGATCCAGTGTAGGGACTGTCTTAAGGCAGATGCAGTCAACCAAGAGCAGGGAGAAAGGCTCGGGAGTGGCAGCGCAGTGGTAACTGCTACCAGCTGGTATTTGTTCCGCAGCTCTTCTGATTTGCCCCTTTGAGTCTGTGTTTTCCCTGCACATGTTGTCTGTCCACTTTGGGCAGAGTATATAAATTGTCCAAGTTCCTGCTGGTCATTTGATTGAGTTTGATCATTTAATGGTTTGTCTTATTGTGGCCTGAACAAGAGTAAACTCTTGGCAGTACCTTAAAGATGGCGCATTTGACATGCTGATCCTTAGAGACTTATAGGCCAGGATTTGGGGTGTGTTGCCACTTAATAAAGTTCATTGAGAGGTTAAAAATATGCAGGTTGTGCCAAAAAAGTCGTTAGAAAGGTGAAGGAAAGGAAAAGGGGGGAATGTTTGTATTTTCTTTTTATTTACTTATTACAGTAAAATGCTTGGTGCAGTATCCACAGTCAAATGAAGTCCATCATAAGCCCTAGGAAGGGAGTGGCTCTGTGAAGTAAATGGTAAGCTGAAAGTGTTTGTGCTAAAAAGTGACCAGCTACGGCACATCAGAGAGATTAAGATTCTTAAGGATAAGTAAACAGTTGAATAAAACATTTGAGGAAGGGCAAAAGTTTTGTAAGCTAAGGGCAAGTAGTGGTTTTATTCTTTCCTTTTCTGAGACTAAAAATGGTAAGAGTCAACAATTATGCAGCTTAAACCTTTGCATGTGGGCAACAGATCCAAGAGATATTTTGGCCCAGAAGGGCTTCTTGATATTTATGGTGGTTTTTCTGTTTCTGGGCATACATAGAAAGTTAAAAATAGGAAAGGTAGGAAATAAAACCCAACAGCTAACCCACATTCCACTTCTTTCCTTAACGTCACATGATTCTAAAAAGGTGACGAGCTAGAGGCAAGGGCGGGATGTTTCCCACTGTCTCGACCACAGTAATGTTTACACTCCCACTGTACTTCCTCACGCTGTGCTAGCCTGGCAACTTTGTGAGAGTAAATGGTGTGGAAGCAGAACAAAGGTATGCTCTTGCTTTGTGTGGAGGAAAAAGGAAAAGAGAACAGTGGAATTGGAGTTAGAAGACCTGGGTTACAATCTTGGCTTTACCATCTAGGGATAAAATGGCACAAATCACTTACTTCAACTGTAGAATGGGGGTAATTATGTCCACCTCACGGAGGGGTGTTGTGAGGCTCAAAGGAGTTAATGTATTATGAAAGTGCTTTGTAAATGGAAATGGCTAAACACTGTAAATTGTTGATAAGACATCTTCAAGTTAATAATATATCTGCTGGTGAATGTGTACTTTTCAGTAGGTTTCTGAAGGGAACTGCATAAGCAGACGTAGTTGAAAACAGGTATTTTTTGCTATCATTTTATTGGAAAATGTCACTCCTTACATTGGCATATCTCAGCAATTAATTTTGTATTCATGTGTGTGGATTCATTTTGGCATTTAGAGTCTGGCATTGCAAGCCAGGAAGAATGATTGACACCTTTTTATTTAACTTATTAAATTAACCATCAAATCAAATAGCTAGTGTTTCTAGGAACCAATGAAATTTGGTGCATCATGCTGCAAAAATCAGCTGCAGTTTTTGTCAAAGGTGTTAACCTAGATGGAACTTGATTTCTAAGTTTATCCTGCTTGTGTCTGATTTTGTACAGAGCTCTAGATAAGGTTTTAGTCACAACTATGTGTGATGATTAATTTATTAAATGTAGGTCCTATTTGAATATTTGGATTTACTTAGATGGTGCTCAGAGGTAATTGACATTATGAATGATATTCGACATGTCTCCCTTGGGGAAGTAGTTGATTCCCCCTTTTAAATGTGATCTATTTATAATTGTTAGAGTATAAGATGATGATTATAACTTAAACTAGTGGAAAATAAAAACACTGTCCCTTTGAAAGGTGAATATATTGCCCACTTTTCTGTTTGTCCTTTGTTTTTATGTTGGCAGTTTTGGTCTCTGATATTGTTTGAATATGTTCTAATCACTCAGGTTAGGTATTATTCAGAACAAGTGATGTGGCCCTTGCTTATATCCCAACGCAACATGATACACCTAATAAGTGTTATATATAGTTCAGTGAATACATACCATTCATTCAGTAAATACTTGTGCACATACTATATTCAAGCCATTGTTCTCAGGGCTGTCACAGATGTGACAGAGTGAGTCACAGATGGATCCTGCCCTCAAGGAGTTCCCAGACTAGTAGGTGAGACAAGACGTGGATAGAGATCACTATCGTGTAAGGTAGTAGGTATGAATCAGAGCTGTAAGAGTGGGACAGGTGGATACCATGGTACATGACATTAAAGAGAGGTCTCATTGCCTGGTGGGAGGACAAGGAAAAGCAAAGGAGGAAGTAGCATTGGAATAGGGCAGAATTACTAACACTTATCACTTGTTTAGCTGTTCCCATGTGCCAGGCATTAAAATCTTGTAAGAGTCTTATGAGGTAAGGATTATTATTCTCATTTTATAGATGAGAAAAATTAAGTTCAGAGGTGTTAAGTAACTTCCTCAGCTAATAAGGGCAAGGGTCTGAATTAGAACCCTGACCTGACTCTAAAGGCCCTGCTCATTTTACTGTGTTGCACTATATTCAGGACGGGGCATTTCATATAGTAGGAATGACAGGGAGAATGTAAAGGGACGGCAAATAATTCAAGTCATCTGGAACGTAGGGTTCAGGAGGGGAGGTTTGGGAGATGAGGTTGGAATGGAAGGTGGATGCCTTGACTGTGCAAGACCTGTTAAGTACTCCACTCTTTTCTTTATAGGCAGAGTATTGAAAATGTTTTTGGTAGGAGAGAGGCATGGTTTGAGCTTTGTTTCAGAAAGATTCATCTGAGAGTGATATATAAGGTGTTAGCAATTCCACACAAATATTTGTGACTTTTCAGCAGTTAATTGCAGCTTTAAATTTTCTTTGCTGTAGCTCAGGGTCAGTAAACGTCTTCTGTAAAGGACCATGTTTTAGGCTTTGAGAGCCAGGCAATTTCTGTGGCAATTGCTTAACTGCCATTGATGTGAGAAATCAGCCATAGATAATATGTGTATGAAATGAGAGTGGTTGTATTCTAATAAAACTTTATGTACTGACATTGAAATATGAATTTCACATAATTTTCACGTCACAAGATATTCTCCCTTTGAATTTTTTCAATGTTTAAAAATGTAAAAGCTATTTTCAGCTCACCTATGGGAGAGGGGCCATACAAAAATAGGTGCTGGGCTGGGTTTGTCTTACTGGTAGTAGTTTGCAGTAAACGAAAAAAAAACCTAAATGAATTTTTATTGGTAAGGTTGTGAATATAGCTATTGGTAAAACATAATGCTGTATTTCACATTTTCCATCAACTAGTTTTACTTTGATGTGGTGTTAATTATGTCTGCTCTAGCTTCAGGGATCATAGCCTCAAATGCTGTCAGAGGCCAAGGAGAAAACAGAAAAGTATGAAGCTTTGGAAGTGGGTTAATAGGACTGGAATGATTGGGGTAAGATTCAGTACCCTCACCTTATTCAAAGGGCCTTTACTTTCTTCTTTTTTTAAAATGCGCTAGCTACATAAAATATATTCCACAGCCTAGATTCAGGCAGGTTGCAACTCCTGAGCTAGATGATCTAGCTTTATTGATCTATGAGTCTTGGACTCTAATGGGCTAGAAAAATAGAAGATGACAGTCTCCAGATTGAAATTTCTCTGGGGAAGCTCCACTGGGTACTTTTTGCAAATGAGCAGAGGTGGAATAATGGTATAATGGGGAAAAAACGCTAGACATGACATTTAGATACCTGGGTTTGGTGCTGGTTCTGCTATTGGTGGGATCTGTGACCTTGGTAAGTCATGTCACCGGGGCCCAAGGTTCTCAGCTTTACAAAGGTGGCAGTGGGTAGGG